TAAAAATGTCCATCCAATTATCACAATTTAATTGTAATTATAATAATTTTGTAGTTAACCATGTTTTGTAATATAACAATAAAGAACTTTTATTTTAGTATGACGCTGTGATAAGAATAATGACCGATTTTTTAAAAGAATAATGTTTCTCACATGGCTCTATCCTCTTGTCTTAATCAATTATTAAGCATCAAATGAGACTTGATTTCTGATGACTTATTAGTGAATTACCGCTGCTGGCGGCCTTCTGACTGTTTTAACAAAATTACCGCGTATCTGTGTCACATATATGCGAAGAACGCTGCGACGGAGTACTCTTTAATCCGTTAAAAATTCACGTTGTACAAGAGGGGGTTGGAATGCTGACAGTCCTCTCGGCAAACCGTCGTGGCGTACGACGAACTAGGGAAACGGTGTCGTCTGCAAGTTTCATAAGCAACGACATTGCCGGGCTTATCAATAATGCGCCGGAGCCTCGTGCTTTTCCCGTTCACTCTATTTACAGCGGAAAATCTATAACAGGGCAAGGGACGTGCACAGGGTTATTGACTGAAACATTCGTGTCGAGCGGTTGCGTAAGCAATATATCACGCAAAGCGGATGCATTTAGCTTCTTGATAGCGTCATGACGCACATAAAATGCATCTTGCTGTTTTCTTTTTGAAAGTTTTCTCTTTAATTTTTAAGTAATTTTCTTCTTTACGAACATGATGTAAAGAAATTTAATTCCATGATTAAAGTAAAATCTTGATTATAATTAACTCTAATGGGAGATAATAATTACTAAAGGAGAAATTGTTTAGAAGAGTTTATCTCCTTACTTAATTGAAATTGAAAGAACTTATCTATTTATAAATTATTATAATTGTAATTATATATTTTTATAATTATATAATAGATAATTATAATATATTTATAAAAATATGTATATATAATTATATATTTCTAATTAAAAATATATTATTACTTTTCGTATTTATGAATGTATTTGAATGTAAAAATGATGGAAGCATCGAGGTTACTTCTTGAACGACAACTTATTACTTATACATACGTTTTTAGGTCAATAATATTGTAGATGACTAATCATGTATATTTTTTATTCTTTTCTCAGTCTGGATGGTAGATCCTGCAAGGACGAGATATACAGAATGGGTATAGGAGCTGGATACTGCGAGGGCAATCTGAACTTCGCGACGGCCTCGGAGGATGACGAGGTCTACACCAAGAAGAAGGTCTCTAGGGTGAGTCACGAGCTCATTTATACTCGATCGGCTTCATAATAAGCACTTTCGTGCCAATCGGCGAAATATTAAGCAATCTGGCCATCTCGCGGTTTCGTTTCTTTTGTTTCAGTCACACGTCGAATATCCATCAATTATTTTTACCGTATTTCATAATATTTGCTTAAATGAAATACAAATACTTCAGTACTGAAGAAATTATATGCAGAGATGCAACGTTTATTCTAGGCAAACATTTCGCGTAAAGGAGGATTAATTATAATCTCGTTGTATTTGTTCAGCTTAACATACTAAAAAGTAAAAAAACCTTATTTTTTAAATTACATATTGCTTTTTTACTTTAAAAGTGACTCAACTAAAAAAGAAAATATAATTTTCAAGTTATTATCATAAATCAGTTATTGTTTTATCAATCATTAAAAGTGAACTAATTTAACTTCATAAAAAATTGTTAAAATCGTCATAACTAAAAATGATGGTTTTAAAGGTTGTGAAAATGATAAAAATGACATTTGGTTATGTTAAGAACATGTTTTTTTTGCTGATATTATTTAATTAGTCAATAATTTTCTGTTACCTTGAAAAATATATTTTCCTCCTTTTTGAAAAAAGCAATTTTTAAAATTGTGTCATAATTTTTGAAATAAGGGAGCGTGTATATTATTTAGAGGCTATAAAGTTCGGAAAAATCAAATTTTTTTCTTCAATTTTTTTTCAATGTTAATAGTAACAATATAAAGTTTTAGTATTATGCATATAATAATACACATTTTTAATTTTTAATTTAACAATATACGGAAATGTTCCCATTTCTTTCTAATTTTTAAGAGAAAATCTTAAAATTAGTCTATTTTTCGACTTGTCACCTAGTCTCTAGATCGTTCCATATTTTGTCGCGTAATTTTGACGAAGTATTTTTAAGTGCCTATCCATTTGTGTAGTCCGTTAAGAAATATATTCTTTCACGTTTTCCCGGATATCCCGCAAGCATTATATCAGTTCATGACGCGTTCCTAAACGTAGTGGGGCGATATCAGGCAACCGTCTTTCGAAACTCATCGCCGTGCGAAGCGGCGCGCGCTTGACGCGACGGTTCCAGAAAGCGATGAGGAGAAGCGCGTGACTTGAATTATCTCATTCGCCACGTGCAGTTTACTGGAGAAAGAAAGAGCGAGAAAGATAGAGAAACCTGAAGCGGAACGGCTCACCTCGGCTCTTATAACACTGACGCCGAGAAGCGTGCTTTTCAATAGAATGCACTCGTAATTATGTTAAAACTATAATGCTTAAGACGTAAAACACATAAATAAAATACTAAATAGTTAGTGCATGTAATGTATATGTGTACTAATGAAAATTTAAACATTTTTTTTATCTATTATTATTATTATTTATTTAAGAACTATGTGTCGTAATGATTATATGCTCTAGAAAAAAAAAGTTGGAAATGTTGAATGAATTTGAAATTAACTGAGGGGAGAGATGACCCGAAGTTGTTTTCTTCGTTTCTGATGAGGCAGCGAAATTTTTTCGCATATCGTCGAGTAAGTTGTGCATGGACTTTGATTCACAACTATGACCGAGAAACAAGTCGGGTATTCCCGTGAATGAATCGCCCGAATAATGGCGAAGAAATCTATCTTAATATCGCAAGATGTACCATACATCTTGTTTCATGCGTGCACTCGAAGTCCTGATTTCTCCCTTTTTCATCATGTAAATCATGTAAAAAAGAAGATGCAAAGATGTCTTCGATGATCGTATTCGCGAAAGCGTTGATAAACCATTGCAGACCAACGTTACTAACTAGACGGTGCTTTAATTTGATGTAAAACGGGTTAGGCACGCTATTATAATTATAGCGACACGATTCATCTTTTATAATCCTGATACATGATAAATGAGAAAGAGAGAGAGAGAGAGAGAGAGAGAGAGAGAGAGAGAGAGAGAGAGAGAGAGAGAGAGAGGCAGAGAATTATGCAATTCGGATATTCTGTAAGGGCTGATAAAAGCGTAAAGATTTGTTACTAGTCTTTTTTGGGATAACGCGATTATGTACCAGCGGCGTTCATTTCAGCGAATGCGATAATTCTCTCTTACGTCACAGTTATTCGCGCAGACACAAGTTTAGAAATCAATAATGCATGTAGTATATAGCTAAAATAAATCACAAATTCTTTCGAAATTCTTAAAATAGATGTAAAGCTTTTGAAGGGAATAATTTATGAAATTGTTAGATGGAATAATAAAAACGTAAATCACTCCTCATATGAATTATCACACTGCTTTCTCCTTGTCATGAATTATATATATTGTTATGAAAAGAAAGAAAAGAAGATATATATAAATAGATGAACAGATAGATAGATAGATAGATAGATAGATAGGGAGGGGAGAGAGAGAGAGAGAGAGAGAGAGAGAGAGAGAGAGAGAGAGAGAGAGAGAGAGAGAGA